GACCTAAAGTGATGGAGACGGACCTCCGACAAGCAAGCGATATCTACACGATATTTAGACAAGGTGTGGACAGTAATCGCTTGGCTTGCAACATCCATAAGCGTTCTGACGCTCCACGCTGATACGGCTAATACCTCGCCGCGCGTGTAGAGGGCAGTTCACCTTGATAGATTTCGAGTAATTACCCTGGCTTAAGAGCACATTTTATTTACCAGCCTTGGGATTGCTTTGAGCCCGGATTGTATACTTATCGTATGTACCACCGGGCTCGAAGCGTCGGGAGACGCGGTGGCCGTATCAAAAATATCTGACCTTTTCACCACAGAGTTACAGGTGAGTCCCAAGCAGCTTCCCGAATTTTTGACATAACAGCAGGTTTACTCCTGCCAAAGACAAAAAAAAATTAAATTTGAAGAAAATAATAAAATGGACAATGAAATTTAAAAAAATAATAATAAAAAAATATATATATGTGACTACATGTATATATATGAAATATATATATTATTTATACAATTTAATTGACTTGATTTAATTTTAATTCATTTTATCTTAATTTTAATTGATTTAATTTAATTTATTTTAATAATTTTAATCGTTGTTTGGTAAAAAAAAATTAAAAGTTAAAAAATTAAAAAAAATTAAAAATTAAAATTAAAAGTTTAAGAGGACTTAGCTGAATTATAATCAGAAATGAAAAATAAATTCACAAAAATAAATCGAGAGTATTTTTTGAAACGACCGCTCAACAAAAATTTTTTCAAAAAATTTAATGATTTAATGATTTAATTTAATGATGATTTCTATTGCCAACTGATAATCATATTCTTCGTCTTCGTTCTTTTCAACCGATAGACTGTAGTGGTGCATAAAATCTTCATGCTCGAATGGTGCGGGACACTTGCCAGCTGAATATTGCCATGACTTGGATAGTTGTGCTATGTAATGCTATATTTCCATGGACTCCAGACGTTATCGAGAGCGTGCTAAATCCGTATGTGCCAAAATCATCTTTAGTTTTTTTTAAAATTTTTCAAGCAAAAGAGTATTAACGACCGATATTTAAACGAAAGGGCCTATCTATTGCCACCAGCCTTTGAGCACTTAGTATAACGCAATGTCCACGTTCGTGTACCAAATGTTATTTGACAAAACAGTTCAATTGTTCTAATGGTCGGTTATTCATAAAAACTTAAAAGGAATTTCATTTTATAAAATTTTTCATCGATTTTACTATTGCAAAAATTGCTGCAAATACCATTAAATGATCGGCATAATATATAATTACAGTTAAAATGCTTTATTTATAAGCACTTGTAAATATCAAATTATCGCAGAGATATTTCGTGAAATTTCAAAAAAAGAAAATAAATTTCTTTCCGGATCCTGTCGCTAATGAAACATGCAGCAATATGAGGTTTGAGACGCATTGTAAAAATCCACTAATCAAATAGTTCTTACCAAATGTCCGCAAACTTGTGGTCTATGTGATCAACTGGGTGCCCTGGGCATGTGCCCAGATAGTTCTGGTTTTTGCACCTGCTTGTCTGGATTCCCTGGCGCATGTAATAATAACACAATTGCCCAAACCTGCATGAAAACTTGCAACAATAAATGATAAATGAACTTGCCTGACAAGTAAGATATTTTATAGAAAATTTGGTCAAAGACAAAAGAGGAATTAACTTTTTTGAAAAAAGCCTCCTTGATAATTGCCTGCGATATGCATTTGTTCAAAGTATGCTTTGATAGAACGTGCATTTTAGGCTCAAGAACGACTTCACCAGCGACTCCATTTCCATTTCAAGTTTGCGAAGATAAACGTGGAAGTTATGCGATCTTCTGCAACCATCCAAGATATTCACTTCCATACTGTTTGTATGCACACTTGCAGTCATTTTGCTAATGAGATGTCATGTTGAGCATAAAATTAACAAATTTTAATCGAAATGTTTTTTTTCTTATCATATCTTTTATATTTTATATCTTTTTTATTACGTTATTTATGTTTTTTTTTACAATTGTATCAGATCTTAACGTGAGAGAATAATCATGATTTTGGTGAATAAATGTTCAATTTCTAGCGCTAAGTAAAATGATAAGCTTGGCCGACGTTTTTCATCTATGCAAAGGAAAATGCTAAGTCTCCAACAAATACGAATCGAAGCGAAATGATTTATAAGAATAAAATTAATAACTATGTGCAAAATTCATATCGCTAGTATTTCAAACAATTTTCATTAAATTTATTCAAACAATTTTCATTAAATTTAAAATAGATAAAATTTTAATTTGCCGTTGTTGTTTCCATACATCTTTGTGAACGTCTGTTTATTATTTTAAAGCGATGAAAAGTGAAAATATCTATGCGCATTTCGGAACGCCGATCGAATCCATAAGGAGTGAACATAGGAAAGATAAATAAAATGTGTCAAATATGTTGAAGTGCCAAAAATATCAAATATCAGCCGAATCGACAAAATAGCGCCGAACATCGACAAAATAGCGCGAAACATCGACAAAATAGCGAGGGTAATTTATTGTGGCGTTTGTTTTAATTAAATAAACTTATCGGCATTAATCAAATTTCGAAACATAAATCGCAGTTAATTTTCACAAAATTAATTTCTATGGCAATAGTCGATTGGAATATTTGGTTGAAAGGCAAAAACAATATCATCCACTTGTACGATGAAATTGAGTGGTACAATGTGATTTGAATGTATTAATTAATGTAAGTCTTTCTGACAGATGCAATAGTGTTTATGTTTTATTTAATTCAGTTGAAGTATGAAGTATGTAATATTTTCGACGATGAAATGCACCCACTGAAATTTTTAAATTGTCCATTGTTTCTAAAGGTGCTGGCTATTCGAAAAATCAAGCCGTTATACAAAGCGATGGTGCATTTTTGTGTTTTTGTGATGCCGACGATGTATCAAATAAATGAAATTGCTTCAGGACATATTTCCTCTTCCATAAGTGCTGGACTGCATTTCAATTTTGTGAAAAATTTCGGGAGATTGTGGGAATAAAAGATGGTTTCTGCACGCGTGAAGCATTTTTGTAATATTTTATTAACTGATGCTTGCAATTATTTTTAGATAATTTAGATTTAGATACGAGGGATTTTAAATAATAACTTTAGGAATGCTATGTTTACTATAAAAGCAATTTTTACGAATAAAAATTTTGAATCATTCCAATAATTTTTTTATGTCTTAGAAAACATTTATTTTCATAAACTTTACGGATAATTTCAATGATCGAATTAAAATTTCAGCAAAATTTTTTTCGTTACAAATCCATACCATTTATACTTTTTGATAAATAAATAATCTATTTTAAAAGCGTCCAAATGAATTTTTAATCTGGAAATATTAAAATGCATATTTGCAATTTGCAAAAAATCTTTGAAATATGAGAATATTTATCAATATAAATGGCAAATGATTATCGCAAAATTATCTGAGACAAAAAAGCAAGTAAAATCGCCCATAAAAAATCAGTCATATAAACATACATATTTTAAATATAAAAATAGATGAATTGGAAAGGAAAAAAACGAAAATAGCTCAAAAAACAAATCCGAATTCTAAATAATGAATTTATGTAAGGAAAACAAAAAGTTATGAGTTGACCTATATTAATGTTGGCAGAAATATTACAATAAAACAGGCATTATAAATTGAAGAAAGGTAGAAAAATAAAAAAAAAAAAACAGGCAGTAAACCGAAAGCAAAATAAAATTGCCAACCAAAATCATTCATCAAAAAACAACGAGATCAACTAACAAAATCAACAAATGCCTAATAAGGCCCTTCATCTTTTTTTTGATGAAGAAGTTGGAGTTTGGATTCACGCAAGGAATGCAATTAACAAGGCGGCATTTACGGAAAAATGTTAACATCACATATTTTGGCAGTGCAAACGAGCAATCGCTATGGCAGTAATCCAGTTTTTTAATCGCCACAACTAGAAGAAAGATGCGTATGCGTATGGTGCTCAGAATCTTTTCCTAAAACGCTATATAGTGAAGAATTTGCAAAATTTTTCCTTCATTTCACCTGATTCACTTAAACACTGCACTAATTGCAAGTGAATAGCTGAATGACCTTGATAAGTGACCAATCATTATTGTAAACTACAACTGCAAAATGCACCACTTATCTTATAAAAAATATAGAAAAAATAAAGAAATATTAAAACCAAGTTTTAAAGTACTAAATAAAGGGTATTTTAAATAAAAGAATAGCAAAAATAAAATAAATAAATAAAAATGATATAAAGAATAAAACTCTGGAAAATATTAAGGAAAAAATGAGTGTTGGTAACAATTTTTTAACATCTAAATGCATTTTATAAATACTGAAAAATTCTATAAAAAAAAGCAATTAAAACAAAGTATAAATAAACGACTAATCTAAAATTCCACTAAATTTTTCGAAAAAAACGATTAAAACCTGGAAGATAGACGAGAATAAGAAAGCATTTTTGTACAAAGGGAAAATTTCTCTATTAAATTTTCAATTCAAATTATTTAAAAAAAAAATGAATTAATTGACGAATGGCTAAAACAAATAAGAAGCAATAACAAAACGTTGATAAAAAATTAATTTTCACTTTACCTATTACCTATAAAGCAACATAGTACATAGGGTTTATGAACACAATTTGGCAATGTCAAGGATACTTTTGGTACTTCCTAGTTTATTGTCGAGTCCATTCTTAACTTATAGGCAAATTTCCAGTTATAAGATTCTTAAGTGATAAACAAGACGACATAAGATTGAATCGGCATGAATACATGCTTTTATAATTCACATTGTATCGTCCAATGAAAAAAGATGATCGTAAAAGAAAAAACAATAAGGACGGAGAAACATTCACCATTCATGGTCCTCTCTTCCCGTAGATTCCAGCCAAATTATTAAAACGTGGACCCCATTTTTCAATCTAAAATATTTTTCATTTAATAAATGGCTAAATGAAAAATTAGCTTAAGCATTATAGAATCTTACTTCTTGGTCGAGATTTCCAGCAGTTTGACCATCATCAACAGATTCTAATGATTCGAGAGTTACTCTATAAAATATGAAGAATTTTATTTCGAAGTAAAAAAAAAAATGAAAAAAGATCGTTTAAATATTCTAAATATCGCTGCGAATCCTACTATAATCATAAAATGATAAGAAATAATAAAAATTACCTAGAAATATTATCGCCTTCATCGTCATAAATTCGTAATTCATCATAAGGAGCAGTGGCATCTGGATCTGATTCCAGATTCTTTATCCGATTATTCAGTTTATCATCTGAAATATCAGTGTTGCTTTTTAATTATATATTTTATATTCATTTAAACGTAAATAAGATTTATTTGATTTTATAAAAACCTAATTTCTGCATAAATAATTTTATATAAACAATTTTATGTAAATTCAGAATATTTAAATATTAAATATGAATATTAAGAGTTGTACTTATGTTTTTCCACTTCTGCCTGGTTTTGGACAAAAATTAAACAGGAATTTTTTTCGATTTTATAATATTACTAATATAGACAATAACTTAACTTATAACTTAATTGCTTCATACTCTTTTAAAAAGAAACTATTTTAAAGAAATATTCTAATGAAATTGATCAGTTTTGTTAAATCTTTACTTAAAAAGGGTAACTAAAGCTAAAAAAATTGAAACTAAAGAACGGTTTCAAAATAATTTACCAATAGCAGGCCTAGGATAAATTGGGGGTGCATATCCTCCGATCCCATTATTTTCTATCGGTATGACAGGTTTGCGGAGATTGCTTATATTGTATTGGTCGTTATCAGCTTCACCACCACCTTCCAAATCATAAGGCCGCAGATTATCGCGATTGAGGTCTTCAGGCCGAACGGGTTCAAATGGCGGAGTTTGACGACGAGTATACACAACCATTAGCATTACCAAAACTAAAAAAAGATTTTTTCAAATTAATGATTCAAACAATAACAAATAAGCAAATCCAACAACAGAATATGTAAAAGAAAATCAAGAAAATCCACTAAGCTAAAAGCAGAAAAATGAGCGAAGAAAACTAACGGATTAATAATATGAGACAAATGAGAATCAAAATGACTGCTGGACTTGAAATTCCAAGACTGCTAACAGCAAGTGTCTCTCCACATCCAACAAGTTGACCATCAGGTCCAAGTAATACTTGAGCACCATCGGGACAGGTACAAAATGCTCCTTTCCAGAAATTCACACAAATTAATGACCCAGCGCAATAAGCGAATCCAACCGTAGCACAAGTAGTACGCTGTGAACAACCCAGTGAGACACCCTTAGACCTTTTGATGGATATTATAGATTCATCATTGGTAAGAGACGTCGTTTCAGTGTCCTTTGCTTCTGAAAGGGGTAAATTGATATGCTGCCAACGGAATGAACCAACGCAACCCTGAAATATACAAATAAGAGTTTCTTTTTGGCGAGAAAAACCAAAGTAGAGCTTTTATCGTGGCGATAACCAAAAAATTTAAACCTGAAATCCTCGAGCACCTCCAATGCTTTGTGCACCCAGTAACAACTGTGATATGCTTATTTCAAACGGCATTTTTGAAGGGTCCAATGGCATACTCTCGTGGTACATACCATCAATCGAAAGTTCAGTTCTGAAAGAAATATATGCCCCAATTAAAAGAATCAGCAACTCGATGAAAAAGGTCTTCATCGCTTTCTCTTTTTGATTTTCATAACTTTCACCTTTTTTAACCACCTGAAAACGTATTTTCAAAAAATGAAGTATGACTAGACTCAAATCCAAATCAATGCTTCATTTGCAGTAATTATTAAATAATCAGGACTATGAATTTCATCCACCTTCTTTCGGCTAAGTGCCAGTTATACCAATTTGATCCGCCTTAAGAAAGTTAATCTGGGAAGCAATTTTGCAAATATACCAATTTTCAGTAAAATTTTATCTTGATTTTAAAAGCATTAAAATGTTTTTAAATGTTGATATCTTTCAAAATACGCAATAACTCAGTTTTATGAACAATAAGATTTCAGAAAGAATCATACCGAACGGGATTTCGAGAGAATTGCATCCAGTATGATGCATTACTTTCCAAACGAACATTGCTTAATGAAATCTGAGCTGTTGAAAGATCGTTAATTGCGTTCAGCGAATTCGCATTTAGGTCGAATTTTGCAGTGGGAACATAATTCTCAATTGATGTGCTGATATACTGAAAACGTTTTTTATTCATAATAATATACAAAATGTGAGAATTGATGCAAGAAAATATAGGTGGAATTGCTTATAAATGAATTAAGTTCACTGGATCAGAAACATAACCTACAAAAACAATCGAACTGACCTTATCTCCACTGCTCCCAAAGCCCAACTCACCAGATCCGCCGTTTCCACGACCTGGTAAAAACAGTACATCAACGTTTGTTGTCTTATCTTCCAGACCAACTTTTACATCATATTCAACAAAAGAACCAGGTCCAAATTCAATCCATTTCATTTCATGATCGCATCGATCACCACCGAATCCTGGTGCGCACAGGCATTTCGGAATATTTGTCTAAAATTAAAAAATATTTTAGATAAAAGGAAACACGTATACTTAAGACGATAATATCTTTAATTAACAAAATAAAATTCAGTACTATAGAATCAGCGATGCATTCGCCATGCACACAATAACCACCTCCGATTTCATTAGCACCACATATTTCTTCCGTCATTATACAACCAGGTTGTGAGTGGGCTTCATCAGCAAAATCAGGTACACCAAGATCATACATTTCGCCATTTATGATCAAATTTCGAAGACAACCAGAAAAACTCTGTGAACGACTAGTTACAGCTGACGGATAGCGATCCCCACCTGACAGTGGAGCTAGGCCACCAACCTAAATAAAAGCAAACATAAAATACAAATATACCTCATTTTTGAAACGATAAACTCTTTTTGATAGCCATTTTAACCCAGTAAAAAAGTGATAAAAATTCACTTGTAAAGGAGCGATGACATTCAATCGTTCATCATCATCCATGGATAAAACTGTTCGACGGCACGACGAATCGTCTACTGACCTCCCAAATATCGGATTTATTCTCATATTTGAAGATGTTATTGTATAACAACCATCAATAACCAATTCGATTATCTAAAATAAAGCATTTAAAAATGACTAATCTTAGCTTTAGCAACTGGAATCTTATTTCTTCAATTTAATCAAAATTGATTCAAAAAGTTAACATCTGATATTTGATAAGCATATCGACAGCACTGAATGATGCTGGAAATTTATTTTTGGACATTTCGGCGAAAAGATCAAAAGAAAGTGAAAATGGTGCGTATTACTAGAAGAAAATCGAAAGAACGATAACCACAAACGTGAAATGGATTCTAATTCGCATACCTTTCCAATTTGCATTAGCGTAACCGCATGCCATTTACCATCGTTTAGCATATCAGAACCAGCAAGTTGCACAATGTTTGATGCAACGCCATTAAACATAAGTTCAGCTTCAATTCGACCTGATACCAATCGTATAATCAAATAATCTCGATAGTCAACCTGACTTTGTGAATTATCACTGCCCATTGGCCCATTATATAGCAAAAGGCTATTCGGCTGCCTGCAAATATATTAATTTAAACAAAATGAATAAAATATTTACGAAAACTAAGAAGAATAAAAGAGACAAAAACGAATTCCAACCCAATTACCTAATTAACAAATAAGTAAGAAGAGATAGCACAAATGACAATACAAAAATAATTACTTAGTCATGAAGTGCAGACTTATATTTAACGAGGTGCATGCTGGCATTGGTTTGAACCAAGCATATCCTTGACCATCAAAAGATCGCGTAGTTCCTTGACAACGAAAACCTTGAAATGCGTTATTACGACATTCGCAAAAGAATCCCGGGTAAGTATTGTGACAAACTCCAGAATTGAGGCATAAATTTGCACGACATGATGGCGGAGGCATAAAGATCGGACACGTGCATGTATCATTTGACCAAGCATTGACACCAACAATTACAGTTTGATTAGCAGCGACAACTACACCCATCTGCAAATTATCTATAAATTGGTGTTTGCATCAAATTGCAGAAATTTACAGGTATAGGTATTGTGTCATGGTTATTCACCTCGATAATCTAAGTTTAACTTTAACTCTTCCAGGAAAAAGCCAATTCGGAAATCTACAGAATGTTAATTTTAATGTTAATTGTAAAAGACATACATTATTGGCATAATTGACCGTTCTGCAGCCCTTATCGCATATTGTAAATTTGCACATATCGATTCCGGCTGAAACGATAGTCGCACCGATAGCCTTCTCTAAATCCGCACGATATTGCGCCACAAGACCATTGAGAAAAACAGGACTTCGGTACGGACTACTGTGAGCCGAGAAACGAACATCAAGAACTTTTGGTGTACTGGTTTGTAGGATCGCTTGATCTTCCTTAAAAAAAAGCATGGTTCTCGACCAATTGATCACAAATTTTTTTCCCTTCCCTTTCTTGGTCAATAATCATATCCATCTAAAACTGTTTGCTAGCAGAGAAAAATCAAATCAAACGAAATAAATGAATTGATCAATGTTTTCAGAACTCTTTTTTAGAAGCTTTCCTCAATAATCTCGATTAATTCTGTTCTTCGTTTCCACCAACAACTTGAAGAAAATATGGTTTAGATAAGCAACCACTTACTTTAATTGAAAAGACATCGATAACTGCATTTCCATTAAGATATTCATTCATCTTATCAACGAATCGACTCATCGGACTCGAACCAGTTGAATCCGTTGTAATAAATTTATCGGGTGATGGTAAACCACCTATGCCTAGAAGAATCCGGACAACACCCTATAATTAATCTGTATTAGAAAGAGCTCTAAAGTTCGTGTAAGTGAATGAAAATTTTTTATTATAGATAACATCTTAAAATCAATTTTAAAAATAAAAGAATAAAAGAACAACCTGATTCTCGAAGGCAGCTTCAGGAACGAGCTTCACAATCACAGTAACAGCGCCTAAGGCCGTTTCACCACGTCTCTTGTCTGTTACGTTCGCTACCATTTTATATGTTCGTGGAGGCATATTAGAATCCATTGTTATCTAATAAAATAGGCATATAAGATTCTTTCACAAGCTATCATTTTTCGCGATCTCTTCTTTCTCGAATTTAAATTTAATATTCTATTATATATTTTCTGCTGTATTTCGGATATATTTACCTCTCCATTAGGTGCCAGTGAAAAGCCTGGAAGAGATCTGCCAGTTACCCATGTAAATAATTTATCAGGCAAATCCCAGTCATCCTTGTCTTCAACATAAACTCGTCCAATCATTGTTTTAGCCAGCTGACCACGATAACTATTAACGAAGATTGTCATTTCACCATCTTTCATCGGATTATCATTCTAAATATTTTAATTTCAATTTTATGATTATAAATTTTTCAGCATGAATAAATGGTTTGTAGCCCAAATTGTGTTGAAAGCCAATAGTTCAGCTCTTATTTCAGCTGGAAATAAGCTTGAACTTGAAAAAATTCGAGTGATGCTGGCTATCTATCTGTCTTTCTATTTCTAAGTGATGCTTTCCTAGTATTTTCCAGCTGTACTAACAGCCAGTGCGGTGAGCCTTTCCATAAGCGTTAGTTAAACGCTAAATACTTATATACTTTTAAAATTTGTTAAATTTATTAAATTATGAAATTTTATATTTTCCTTATTTAGTGATTTTATCTGCTGTCGTATTTTTCTTTTCTCACAAAGAAATTTGCAATAATTTGCTTTAAGCATTAGAAAAATTTCTTTATTGTCATTTCGTATAAGCGAAAAGATTAGAATTACCGCGACGACGACCTTTCCTATCTAATTTTCCTGTTTGATTATATGAAAATGCAATAAAAAAGGTTAAATACACAATAATTGTCGCAAATTTATGAGCGCATGCATTCAGTTATTGCTGCGCTATATTTCCATTTCCACAAATTCCAAATTTCTATTTTTTCCGATGATTTTTTTTATTAAATTTTATTTTATCAAATATTTTATTGGAAAAAAAATTTTCCCTTTAATTAATCTCTTATATTTTCTTTAAATTGGTTTTTTTAAATTAAAAAACTAACTGAATTGAAACTAAAGCAAAATAAAAAACACCTTCGAAAAAAAATAAACAAGAATTTCGTAATTTAGAAATTAGCTTAATTTGCATGATAAAACAATATTTTTATCAAAATTACTCTAAGAAATGCTTAATTTAGGCAATAAATATCACTTTAAGAAATTGAAGTCAAATATGTGAGGAAAGGCCGTCGAAGGGCCTTCCTTAAACAAAATCTTAAAGATTATTATGGCTTCGCAAATAAGGATCAAATGTCATTATTTGTGAGATGAATAAAGAATACCGGCAACACTTTTCGCTGCCTTTATTATTAATTAGGCTTTATTTTATAAAAGCAATTTATCATAAGATTAGATGCGCATCCTTTCTAAATCGTCCTTGGCATATTTTTCTGCTCAATTGGTTCCTTTTTTTGAGTAAAAATTTTAAAGGAAAGAAAGAAACATGCAATTGAAAAATATAAGCGTCACTCATATCCCGAAAAAATTATAAGAAATCGTATATGTTAAAATCTTATGATAAAAAAATATTCGCTTCACTAATTTGAAATTAACGGCGGAATTCGTAAAATCCTCGTCCTATGAAGGAATTCATCAACAATTACCTCGTCGCCAATGATGATATAAACAGATCGTTCAACTCTTAATCCTCCTCTATCCTGTAAAATTAGAGGTATTTCAAGTTGTTTTCCTGGGAATTCAGCTTCACGATCAAAACGCTGCTTTGCTATAACAGTCATCGATCCATTACCATTGTCACCATCTGAACATTTTTCTTTATTGCATATTAAGCTCGATTAGGTATGATATGTTATGTATTACCATTTTCATTTTTATATTATTTTTTCACTTCAAAAAATAATTTAAATTCAAATTTGAAAAAACATATTAGAAAAACATCCGTATAAATATTTCCATATGGAAAATGAAACTGATACTACAGTTTTCTAAGAGTGCTAAACATTCCTCGTTAGACCAATTTGGCTTATCGAAATCAATTCTGGCACATAGTCACTTGACGATAGAAGCACAGGTGAATTACTAGCACACCCGACAGTTGCTAACAATTTAAAAAAAATTTAACCACTATTTAAAATTAAAATTATAAAAGTGGTTCTTACATTTGTTGAATTGTAAATTCAAATAACTCGAATATTTGAAGTCTGGTGCAACCTCCATGTAGAATGGTGGTCCATTTTCCCTGAAATATGAAATCAACATTTAATATTGTAAAAAATACAATATTATATTAATATAATATTAATATTAATATTATAAAACATTTAATGTTCCAGCAAAAAATGGCCAAATGAAATCGTAATCATAATTTTTGCTTCATTAATCCAAAGATCCACAGTCAATATCAACAATTATATAAGAGGAAATGAAATATCAATTAGTTTCCAGAAATTCCAGAAAGGAAAAATTCAAACGATTATCCCAGTAGATGACAACGATTCTCACTTAACCGATAGACATTCTAATAAAAACCCTTCCAGAAAAAATTTGTTGATAAAACCAACATAGTATCTAGGTCGTACGCTCTTATTTCGCAACGGGGTTGCATTGCAGGATCCGTATTCTCCATAAAAACGCAAGGATCTGGTACTGTATATGGTACAGGTGCGTTATCGTTAACATCTTGCAGATAAATTTCGATTCGTTGCTGACCAACATTTCCAGCTGAATTAAAACGGGATAAGATTAAGATTTTAATATGAATTCTAGACTATTGGTCACCTCAATTAATGATCCATGGATTAGTTCATATAATATAATCCATATCAGTTATTTTAGAAAAAATACCTTGGTCGAAAGCTTCCACGATCAAATTATATTTTGGAATATCCTCACGATCAAGACTTTGTGCGACTCGTAACGAACCTGTTTGATCAATTGAAAACTGTCGTTTAGGATCGCTTTGACGATTAATACGAAATCTAAAATAAACGTGTCGAATTTCAAGAATCTAGAGGAATTTCCAATCCTTCCTCATAAATGCTTTTCAAGCCAAAATTTACTGCAAATATTTCAAACAGTCAAACATAAATAATTCATGACCTTTATTGCAATGATTAGCAATATCGAATTCCCACATATATAATTAACTTCAAGAAAATTTCCCATCATCAAAAGAACGAATGAATGATTCGTCGATTCTCCTTTCATCATAGAAAAAGGCAATAAAATAAAGGACATAAAAATCATTCCAAAAATTGATTCCTCCATTCTTTATTCCTTTTAACCTATTTTAACAAATAAAACCCTTCGCTTGCATTAGAACTTCCTATGTGTATATGAAAAATTAAGAAACAAAAATGCTTTTCCCTTGCCACAGTTGGAACTATACGCATTACCGAATCTCTTCTGGCTTGTCCAGCGATTAGTTGGACAAAATCTTTTCACCGAAAAGTGTATTTGAAGACAGAAATAACTGTATTTCATTTTATTTTCATTTTGACAGATCTGCTCTTAGAAATGCCGTTAAAAGTGGTGAATAGTTTGGTTTACTGCGATTTTTTTTCTCACATTTAAAAACCATGGTCGAGTGGTCATCGACCTGTGCTTCTTTCACAAGGCGACTACTTGGCAAAATTTTCCCAATAGCCAGCCAGCGGAGCTAATCTAACTAGAAATAATGACCGCTGACCACTAATTTAATCAAAATTCATTTGGCATCTCCACAAATGAAGGAAATTTTTGCAATAAAATTGCATATCAATATTGAGCGAATGTGTGTAATTTCTTATTTCTTTCCTTTTTCCGTTAATTTTCCACTTTCAGCGGATGAAACGAATGTCAACGATTTTTCCAGCATCGTCTCGCATTCCAAAATCGATGCAAATTTTGCTTCATAGAACAATTCCAAAAATAATAAAACTCAAATTTATCCAACCAAGCACCAATAAATATACATTCGATAAATATTTATAATTTTGCAAATGAATAATTGAAATTCTTTCATCGGAATTGTTCTATGAAGCAAAATACTGCAAAATTTGCAACATATAAATTTTATTCCCTCTTGACATGCATGCATGCATTATATGCTCCTTACATGCTTATTGGTGTGCATGCCTTCAAATATTCATACATACCTGGCGGTATGTATTTTTCGTAAGCATTTGCTTTCACATATCTTCCCTCCTCGATAAGTTTCCATTTAAAATAAATATTTCTAATTAATTATTTTAAATGCACAAAATTACGAATCTCGCGATACTCTTTTGTTTAAAGTTCTCTCAGTTGATGCATGGCAAATGAGTAATTTCACCTACTTCATTATGCATATTAAATGGGTAAATTAAGCATTAGCACTTGTAATTAGGTTACAACAATTGAATCACTGTTCACTCACTCATCAATCACCATTACCATTGTGTTTCACTCTTACTCGTTACCTTTAATAATTTCCCAAGAAAACCTCTCATATTCTATAATTCGTTCAACATTTGGAGATCACTAAAGCGTATAATTTTCAGCAAAAAAATCGACCTATAATTGACAAAATAGCCCATAATTTGACAGATGGTTACTTTATAATTCCCTTTTTATATGTAGGCTGAGAAGAAATGAGGAGCATGGACTGCGATTTTAGCTTTTGCCATAAGCGAATTAAATGAACAGCATTGCCACATTGTAAACAAAGCTGATTATTGAGCATAAACTTATACATTTCTTAAATTCCACGGTTTTCATGCGTTTTCATGGATTTTTTAGTATTTCACGTGCTATTCTACAGTTTTCATTTAATAATTTATAAAATATTGATTTATTTGCAAGTTTATAGAAAATAATCTAAATTAGGAAAATGAATGTTTTCCTCATCTTAAAATTGTGTATACGGCTTCCTCAATGAGGAAACCCTTATAAAATTTCGAAAACAACATAAGCCTTTATTATTATTATTAATAATACTATTATTAGCACCACAAAAATTTAAAGCGTATATAAAAAATGGGCTATAAAAATGGACGAAAAAAATTGGAAAAATTTAAGAAATTTAATAAATCTGTGAACTGATGCGCGAATCATGTCCGCTATCATTCTTTAAGCATCACTCAAGGTCATTCAAGGGTCATTCTATAGGCAGTAATTCGCTCAGTTCAATTCGAAAATAACTCATTCATGAAATTAAAGATAATTTCGGAAAACGCGTCAAGGCCACACGAAAAACCACTACTTGAAAGTACAATAAATATGTCCCCTATTATAACGATATTATTTCCTATCTTATATGAAACTTCAGCCGAAAATAACATTTCATTTCATCAGTTGCCCAAGCGAATTCATTCAAATATGTGTCAACCCTGCCATCACCACTAATTTAGTTAAAGATTTTTTAACATATACTTTTAAATTACGATTAATTTATCGTATATCCTAGGTATTACAACTGAAAAGAGCCTAAAAATTTTAGATTTAGATTTTTCCTTTAAATCTATTCGATATTACCAAATTTTAAACCGAAGTGAATTTAAACAACGTATACTGAAAACAAATGGTGAGAATAAAAAACTCACGTTAAATTATAACTTGGAGAATCCTTGTCTTCAGCTCGGAATGTAGCAAGAAGTTCACCAACCGGTATCGCTTCACTAATATTTTTAGTGAAAGTTACAATAATATCACGTGAAGTCTTACTGGAGAAACTCAAAAAACGTGACTGACCGGTAAACTGACCACCAGCAAAAGGCAGCGAATATTCTTGCGCATATGCGCCGAATGGACAGATAGTAAAAGTGGTAAGTAATAATAGAATATTAACTAAGTGACGTAAGTTGGATAACACTTTAGGATAGTCCCAAGAGCATGAAAACGGCTTGAAAACGTCAAATAAATATAGCTGTTGTTCAGGAGTTTTCACGCATAAATGACGCTGAAAGCCTAGCATAGAAATATTTGACTCACATTGCCGTGTCATTCTCATCGTCGTCGCGAATTTCGAATTTCGCAACCAAGACATCGTGTGTCGCGTCTTCGGATATACGCGACGTTTGTGGACCCGTGATAATTGGTGAATTGTCGTTGCGATCCTCAAGTCGGATACGCAGTCTTGTTGTAGCATAATATCGTCCATCGTAAACACGTACGCCAACGTTGAATCCACTACGTTGTGTTGGATCTTCGTAATCAAGTGGCTAAATTTTTCACTCGTAGGATAATTTTAGGGTTGACTTGTTTATATTTACGTGAACTTCTTAAACCACTTGTTCTTTTTTAGGCCTTTCAGGCATGAAATGAAGTGAATAACCTCAAGACCAATATTTAATATAGAAGGAATGAATGAAGAAGGAAAATGGAAGGAATTTAGAGAATCACTACCATCGATTAGCGATGAATAATTTTGTTTAAGCAGATAAAAGAATAATAAAATGAAGGAATTTCTTTACGATGATACTGATAATACAACAGATAATAAAAAAGGAGTGAACAGTCCAGAATGCGAAGTAGTAAATAGGTCAGAGAATCGTTCGGCAAATAACAATCTCTTTCCTCTTGGCTCCCTACCAATTTTATTTCTAATATAGCCTATCAAATATAATTTGAATTGGCTGCTTCTTTTTCGCCACTGAAATATCAAATATCATTTAGAAACAAAACTTTTTACGCAAAAAATTCATCAAAAAAAGCTATAAAAGTCAATGTTGCACGAAGATAAATAAATAAATGCACGAAAATTTAGTCATAAAAAGGGAGAAAAATTAGGAGGAAAAATTTCAATCCGCGATATGACACTTCACATAGCACTTAGAAATAAATAATCGACAAAAAAATGACCGAAAGATTTCGGGACGGCGAAGAGACCACGAAATTCGAGCCAAACAGACCAGAATATGTGCCCTTTCAAAGTGAAAAATTTACTTTTCTAACAAATTTTCGAACAAAAGGAAATTTCGGAAAATTTTAGAAAACATCGTTTTCTTCAAAGTAACATTCGGAACATTCGGAAAATAAAATGGAGAAATCAAACCAAATCAAATTCAAATCACAAAAGCAATTGCAACCTTTCAGATGACTGCCAAGAAGAAGATTTCTTCAAGTCTATCACACATTTTATTATATCAAAATTTGGCTTATTCGCTCAAATTTATCATATTTTAAATTTTAAAGAATAAGACAACTTCAAAAGACAATGTTCCTAAATAATTTTTGTTATTATAAAACGCCTCATCAACAAATATTTTTAGAAACCACGCACTTGTGGTTCGTACATAAATTATTTTTCTATATAAAAATATCATTTACGTTACTTTCGGAATATGAAATTATCAATTAAACTAATTTCACACTTTGAAAAATTTAAATTAATTTCCGGATCTCGCTAAAATCACTAAAATATTTTTTAATTTACGATACTTCAAAAATTCAAATAAACTATTTTTGTACTTTACTAATGATTAAGTGGTTAGCGCTTACCATTTTTAATTAGGCCAGTTCCAGTGCCCAGAAATCATTGCTAAGGTGATAATAAATATGATGGTAAAAAATAAAAGGAGTCGCTAACATGACCCGGATTTTTTAATGACAGGTTTACTCTAACCAGGAATCGAACCTACGCCGACCGATGCGAATTCAAAAAGTTATACCACCTATGCCCAAAGTACTTAACTGTTACTCAAGCGCAAAACTATTCAACAATTAGCAGATCCAATGTAATTGGTGGAACTTGACTGAAATCCTGAATTCTGAAAAAGCTGAACAAACACTATTTATTTAGGAAGCATCTGATAAAAGAATAAAACCATTCAACAAAGCGACAAACAATGTAATGTCCTTCCCTTTTGGTGATTCATTTATTATATGATTCAGTGTTCCTGACGAGTTTATTTTTTTCATTCTTATCGACAAAATTATTCTCCAAATTATCGAAGATCCTGTACAACGAAGAGGAAAACGAGGATAAGCAAAGAATGCCTTCCAGTTCAATTTATTGCCAAAATTTTAACCCATTTTTCGACGATCCTCAATTATTCCCATCCAGTCAGTGGAGCATTACTAATTATTAATTACCGTAAATTTTATAAGCATTCATTTGCGAGAGGAAAATTTTTCTACCACAAAAATTGATATTTCTAAGAAATTCGAAAACTATAAAGATTATATTATCTTAAAAAATCCGAAAATGATGTAAAAATTAAGAGAATAATTAATTGAAATGAATTCGACTAGACAAGGCAAAATTCATAATTCTTATTTCAGACACAGCTGCCACAATTTACAAATAAGAAAAAATACTTTAAAAAAACTAGAGAGAAAAGAAAATTGAGTAAAAATTTAAGTAAAGCAAATCACCTTACAGATTTGTAGTTGATTTGTTATCGATGAAGCGCAGCTGTTACTAAAAAATTGATACGAATTTACTACAAGTGGTCGAAACAGCAAAGGAATTTCATTTATGCAATAATATTCATTTCATTTTATACATCTAATCTATTTTAAATTTCCTATTTCAATAATCGATGACCGCATTGGTTATAAATTTATAGAAAGTTTGCAATACTGAAAATAGACTAAGTGATAACTATACTATGATATATAGATTATCATTTTAGATTATCATTTCAAGAAATTTATCGCTTCTTATAGAAACAAACCTATCAATGAAAAATTTCTCTCGAACTCGAAAATTAAGATTATTTTAAAATCTAAATAGTCTAAATAAATCTAAATAAAACCTAAATAGGAAAACGAAGTAAATTAAATAAATCCGGGCGATACTGAAGAACTAAATAACTCCGTAACTCCCATCCTAATTCACCTAATATTCTAATGAGGATAGAATGGCTCAGTGGGTTGCTGCTCAACTGAGAGCACCGATGCTCAGGTTCGATTCCCCACAGGAAAAAATTTATACAAAAATCCGGATGGTGCTCATCTGTATTTCTACCGCCAAGGGACTTCCTGGCGTATTTGTTAAATGCGACAAGCCAGTGGAGCGAGTTTAACCAGTAATGGTGAGGACTCTTAAAAAAAGAACCTAATAACGTACTTACTTACTTTAAAGTATTTACTTACTTTAATAACTTATGTAGAGTTTAGAGTGAAAAGATTTATTTTTTTCGCTTTATTCATATTATATACAAGTCATTCCATCTGGCAATGAATTTGAGCATTTGGACGGTTAAAGTTAACAAACATTATTCAAGGACGAATTTTATGTCATCCAATGATTAATCGTATTAAAAACAATAATCGGCCATTTAGTCTTAAAAAAACTGATTAAATGCAGTAAATTCAACAAAAAATGAGACAAAACCGGTCTTATTCAATAAATAATCCACAAAAAAATGATGGATCTTAAGGTTTTCGAATAAATTTTTTACAACTTTTATAATAAAGAAATTCCATTTTTTCACTAATTTCAACTATTTGTAAAAATATTTTAAACATATTTTTAAAAAAATTACAGAAATAATGGAGTAAATGTATCACTCATTTTAATATATGAAGAACAAAGGGAGACATTTTGAGCAGCAAAAAATAAATCATCCAGAAAATGTCAAATCCATAAGTTGCTTTAAATTAATTTATTTAATTTGTGCTTCGTGTTTCTTAAATTTTTATCAAGTCGAATTTTTAGGGATTTACTATTTTTGAAATTCGATATATTCCTAGAACCATCCAATCTTTTTTCAGTTCATTTAGTTTATCGATTTGCATTTTTTTTAAATTCGCTCTTATCATTATCAATATCATTTGGCTAACTTTGGAGACGTGAATGACCTCTGCGAAAGCAATAGGTCAACCTAATAAACCTAAATTATCGAAAAAATTCAAAAGTAACCAAAAAGAAAACTTATAAAGATAGAAAAGCTGCTTTCATATTAATGGAAATACCAAAAAAAATCAGGATGGCTGAAAAACAGTGACAAAAAATAATGTCGTTGAAATCACTTAAGGTAAAAGTGAGTTGTTATAAAAATTATATATAAATTATATACAAATAATAATCCAAGCTTACTTTTTCGCTAATACAACAATTATATGGTGAAAAAATCAAATAAAAATATTACTTTTTCGGCAAAAAAATATGAAAATTTCTATTGCTTAAGAATTAATATTTCGTTTTTATTTCATCCAAGCAAACTTTATTAATATAACAAATAACACAAATAAGAAGGTCAAAAATGAAAATCTATTAGTAATAGAATAGAAATGGCTCAGTGGGTTGTTACTCAATTGGGAGCGCCGATGCTGAGGTTCAATTCCCCGCAGGAGTAAATCTGTGCAAAAATCCGAGTGATGCTGGCGACTCACCTATATCGCCAAGGAACTCCTGGCATATTGCCCAGTGCGACAAGCCAGTATAGCGAGTTTAACCAGTAATGGTGAGGATCCTTAAAAGAAAAAAAATTACTATTGGAATATTTCCGTCAAATACCTATAATGAAGATCGATTAATACTGAAAAAAAAAGAAAGATTTCTGGACAAATAGAAGATGTTGGTATATGACCGGTGACACTAAAACATTCACACAATACTTCGTATATACATAGATGGACAAATATGATGACGATTAATAGAGAAAAATTCCACATTAGAGAAAGGTGGATTCGTTAGTTGGTAGATCAAACAGATTGAATATCGATGGTACGAGAGAAAGAAATTAGATGAAGAAATTACTTCAATGATCGTAAAATAAACGACGTTAGCATATATGTAGAGATTGTATCGACGATGAACGTAGGTAGGTTATGTACGTAATGACTGACATACATCTAACTTAATGCACATGTATGTATATACGAAGGAATGAACACTACAACGATAGAAATGGCAAGAAAATTTTTATTCATCAATTCTAGATGACAGCCTAAATTGCAAGGTTTCAAAGCACTGAAACATTTTTACTAAAAGGTGTAATGACCTCACCTTTGTCGTACATAACTGTTCGAGAATTTTGTTATACGACTAGTAAACGAAAAACACCAAAAAACAAAAGAGAAAAAAATTCAAATAGCAAATTAAATCAAAATGTGCAAAAAAGATATGATAAAACTGATAGCATCTACTGAACAGATTTTATCAAAAAATGGAATTTATCTGTAAATAAACGCAATTATTTCTGGTTGGGCCAGTTCCATTCACTATTAGTGTGGTTAAAAATTTTTGCTAGACAATTACGTAGCGATGAAGATATAAGTTGATCGCCAGTACCACTCTGATTTTTGAATGATAACTTTTATGTGATAACTTCTATCGTATGAGGAATCGAACTCTCAAGATGATAAC